TTTTACTGATGAATATTATTAGGAAACAGTCTCATGTTGGTTTCCTTAGATTTATTTACACCTTCTCAGTCTCTCTCTAGATTCAACCTCTCTTTCCTTTCTCTTCATCTTTCTAGGTTATATTCTTGTTATCTCTTTGGTTTTATCTTCCAGTTTATCAATTCTGCCTTCATCTCTTTATAAATTTCTGGCTTAAACCATCAGAGATTTTTATTATATTTTTCTTTTAAACCTTCTGTTCCATTTTTCTTCAACTTTGCTTTTTGCCTTCTTGTATTCTCAAGTGTCTCCTTTTTTTATATGAAACCCACGTTTTGCTTTCTTTTGTTGTTTTTTTTTGAGACAAGGTCTCACTCTGTCACCCAGGCTGGAGCAGCGGTGCCATCATGGCTCACTGCAGCCTTAGCCTCCCCAGGCACAGGTGATCCTCCCACCTCAGCCTCCCAAGTAGCTGGGACCACAGACACATGCCATCACACTTGGCTACTTTTTGCATTTTTTTGTATAGAGACAGGGTTTTGCCATATAGCCCAGGCTGATCTCAAACTCCCGGGCTCAAGCGATCCTCTCAACTCAGCCTCCCAAAATGCTAAGGTCACAGGCATGAGCTACCATGCCCGGCCTACATTTTGCATTTCTTATATAACAGTTTTACTATCTAAAGTCTGCATGGAGTTATGGTTGCCTTTTCTTGTTTCTGTTCAAAAAGACTCTAATTTTCACTTGGAACTTTATCTTGCTAACCTAAGTTGAAGTGACTCCAGAGAGGATTTCGTTTCCCTCCAACAGTTTTAATGGGCACCATCCACACAGAATCACTTTAATTATGTGTTTAAGTGCTTTCAGACCGCACTACTAGCACAATTCAAATTATAATCCTGTAAAAGGCTCATACTGTGATTAAAAACTCTCAAAAAAGATTTTTTTTTCCTTTTCCACCAGGATAGAGCAAGACAAAGACAGGTAAGTTTCCATCCTGCCACCTTTGCACCTCACACTGCAGATGTGGTCCCACAGGCTTTAATCAAGGGCTCCTAGCAAAGTCTCTACCTAAAGTGAGCCCTGTATTTCATCTCCCATCCTCAGGGCCCCATGGAATCATCAAAGCAGAAGCTCAATGTGTCCAGGACCTGGAAGATAACTTTAGGGGAAAAGCCGAGCTTTGGCATTCACTCACCTCTTTTTGTATCCTTACTTATACTTGACTATGTTCCATTTGGTTAAGATTACAGTTGACCTTTGAACAACACAGTTTGAATAGGAGAGGTCCACTTATATACAATTTTTTTTTCAATTAAATGTGGATGGAAAATATATTATTCATGGCCCATGAAACACACATATATGGAGCACCAACTTTTTGTACATGCATGTTCTACAGTGCAGCGATGGAACCTGTATGCTCTGGATTTTGGTATTGGGGTAAAGGGGCTGGAACAAATCACCTGAGTATACTGAGGGACCATTATACTGCATAATTAACCTAATGGACCATTATATAATAAACATAACTCCAATTAACTCCCAATTATTTTTATATAAATGTCAGCCAGTATTTATAATTCTACATCCATGTTTATTACTCCATCCATAAACCATTATGAGTACCAAAATGAACTCTTTTAAAAAACCTTAAATGTAAAATTTTGTGCTTTCATCCACTCACTTTTAGCTATTCCCAAATGTATGTAAGAAATTTAAAAAGCGATGTGAGGGAAAAATCAATCCATTAAATTTTTATTTATGGATACTACAAGTATACCACCACGTAGAAATTATCAGGCTGCTCTGGTCTTTGAAATGAATGTAAAGCACCTTCTTTTAACTGTCTCTTTTATTCTTTCAGTGCAATACAAAATGTCTTCCAGACGCCTCCTCAATCAAAGCTGAATCACAATGCACAATTCCTTTTACATCATTCCAAACAACTGTAAGTTTGGAGTTTACATCACCAGCGTAAAGTACATCTGAGATACAGGGCTAGAAAGGGTGGGCTAAATGCAGGGAGCATTTACAGAATCAGGGTCAGAAAATCCAAAAGAAAAAAAATAAATAAGAAGTAAATGTAGAAACCAAAATATGGTCAGCTGCAAGATACGGGTATTGAACCAGAGGTCAAATCTAAGAAAACCGTAGGTCAAAAGCATCCTGTCCACATAAGAACCAATAGTAAAATAAGATAAATGAACATAGGCAACATCATTGTTTCAGAACTGACCTCAGGCAGTATTTCTGAAACTTAAGCATGGGCCAGAATCACCTATAGACTACTAAGACAAAGAGACCTGGGCTCTGCTCCCAGAGGTTCTATCCCTGCAAGTCTTGGATAAAAGCTGACAATTTGTTTTTTTTTTTTTTCTTTCCTTCCATGGAACGGGGGTTCGCTCTTGTTACCCAGGCTGGAGTGCAATGGCGCGATCTCGGCTCACCGCAACCTCCGCCTCCTGGGTTCAGGCAATTCTCCTGCCTCAGCCTCCTGAGTAGCTGGGATTACAGGCACGCACCACCATGCCCAGCTAATTTTTTGTATTTTTAGTAGAGACGGGGTTTCACCGTGTTGACCAGGATGGTCTCGATCTCTTGACCTCGTGATCCACCCATCTCGGCCTCCCAAAGTGCTGGGATTACAGGCTTGAGCCACCGCGCCCGGCCCAAAACTGACAATTTGTATTTCTAATAAGCTCACAGGTGATGCTTATTCTGCTGGCCCAGAAAGGAAAAGACTAATATGAAGACTTTGCTGGGTAGCCCTTTTTTTCTATCCAATTTCTTCTGCAGAGAAGCTTTCCAGCTTTGAAAGAGGTAATATCATTGTGACCTCTACTTAGCCACTGGGAGTCAAGAAGGGATTAAGAGTTAGAATCCTTGAAATGCTATATGATCGATAGTGGGGAAACTTCTGGAAACCTTTTGAATAGTGAACCTCATCAGGGTCCTTAATAATCTCTCCCAGGTCCAAGCCTAGAACAAATTTTTCATGTGCATTCTCTTAGCAGGGATCCTCTAACATTAAATATTTGCCTAACCAATTCTGGTTTCAAAATTTTCAGCAAAGTAAATATTACTTTTTCAACTGTTTCTTACTTAGTCGTCATTTAGTAAATACTGCAAAATTTCTGCACTGATTGGCTATAACAACTGGTTGGCCTTACAAATATAATAGCCACAGGATATCCATAGTATTAGAAATCATTTTCATCAAACAGCTATTCTCAATGTATCATTGATGTTTTCCTATTCACTTCAAAATTTTAAATTCTTACATTCATTAATTTTTATTATGTAATGGGATACAGATCATAATAGAGTCCATAAAATCTAGAGTTAATTTTAAATCTGTTTTTAAACTTAAGAGCAACAGGAACTCTGAAAAATCTCCAATGAAAGTATAAAATGACACATCTACTTTGAAAAGCTCATCACAGGGGAATGGATACACTGAAACAGAAGCCCAGTTGCATGGGCCATGAATAAATTGTGATCTATTAATACAATAAAATCCTACTTATTGAGCAATACTGTGCATGCCTCAGATTTGTGGGAGTTCTTTTCCCCACAGCCAAGAGGCATTTCCAGGTCAATTCATTGGCAGGCTGGCTCCAGAAACAGGGTTGTAATATACTAATGCTATTCACAAAATATTAGCTTGATGAAGAGGAGGCAAGCTACTTTCCTTAGTAACTAGAATAGTTAGAAAAATAAGAATAACAAGAAAAATTAGTAGTAGTAGTAATAATACAATGAACAATGAATATGCATATGATATAGCAATATTCGTTACTTAGTAATGTTCTAATATTGTGCATAGTTTTAAGATGTTATTGTAATAAAAATAAACAATGAACATTCATCCAATGTTCCTTACTTAGTAGTAATGTTCTATTATTGTACAAAATTATAATATTATTGTAATAGAAATGAACAATAGATATTCATACAATGGACTACTACCCAGCAAAGAAAAGTGAATCAACTACTGATGGTTTATTCAACATATTGAATTCATTCAACAACATGAACAAATCTCAAAAACATTAGGTCGAGTAAAAGCAAACACAAAAGAATATATGCAGTGTGACTGCATTTATATAAAGCCCAAAAACATGTACATGTAATCTGATGGCAACCAGAAAGTGGCTGATTTTGGCACAGGGAGAATGGATCCAGAGTGAAGGGTCAGGAAGAAGCTTCTAGGAGTGATTAAAAATGTTCTATACCTTGTTTTGCACACTGCTTACATGGATATATAGGTCTGTCAAAAACTCATTTATTGAAGCTTAAATCTATGCATTTTACTGTATGTGAATTGCATCATAATTAAAACATGTGTTTTTAAACTTAACTGTAAGGAAAAGAGTGATTTGCCAAGATAATGTTTCTTGAATTCAATATAAAACATAATTTAGATAGAACAAATCATTTGCTATTTAAAATTTCTATTACAGTGAAGAAATTAGCAGTCACAGATGTATGTTTATTAAATCAGGATTTTGAGCTAAAAAGAGGATGACCAAACCTCTCAGTCTGCTTTACACATAGGCACCCCAGTATAGACCTGCTAGCACAGCATAATTGTTAACGGCACCTCCTTCACAATCAAAGGCATCCTGATTTAAATGAAGAAAGACCTTTACGGTCACTTCAGCTAAAAGGAATCTTAGACATTATTTAGTAAAATTAGCTCATTTACTTTTCCTTTTCTGTTCAATCCATATCTACTCAGCACCTACAATGTAGTTAAACATAGTCCCTTTGTTGTTGCTACCACTTCACAATGCCTCTTTGTTTCCATGATCAAAATATAAAATGGTACATGAATTTTTCTCAAATGTAAAATTTACACCTGAGGACAAACTAAATACCAAAAAAAAATTCAGGATTTTTTTTACAAGGAAAATATAAATCAAGCATATGGGGAAAAAAAAGATATAACTTTTTGAGCTATAAAAAAACAAAGTATATAAAGATATTTACAAATATAAAATAAAGAAAACCTTTACCTGCTGCCCTGTAAAGTATTTTAGGTTCAAAAAATATACAAGGATTTTTATCCTCTATGCATGACAAAAGAAGTCCTTTGGCCTGGAAAGGGCTTCTGGGTATAACCACCTGTAAAAACAGATTTTTTAAAGACAATTTTAGTAAAATATATCCCAGTAAACTCACTTCTAAAAAGGGTTGATACTTGAATAACCAATTGTTACTAATTTAAAATAGATAATGGGTATTTATTTTTAGTCTCATTATCACTTATTAAGTTTATTACATAAAAATAAAAATGTCTTTTATTCAACAGATATTTATCAGATGCCTACCATGTTCTATTAACTAAGATACTACTCTTCTCTTAAGAAGCTAAACTTGCCTATATAAAAAGTAAAGGACTACGCAAAGATCATTCATCGAACCAAAAAATGTAGTATTGTTAAGATCTACCTGTTTATCTATAAAGAAATCTCTTCTACTAATAATCTCCTGCTACTTTCAAAGTACATGCAACTCTCTTCTCCAGTTTTAGCATGTTAAAATCTCCTTCTTTCCCATGAAAAAAATATGGTCTTCGTTTCATAAGTGAAAAATTTATCCACTGAGTTTTACGATCCGGGCACCAAAGTGTCCAGTTATGGCAAAGCAAAAAGAAAAGTGTGGATAGTTCACATTTCCACTTCACAGGAAAGGGCCCCAGGAACTTCTTGAGAATGAAGGTGATGATGAGGAAAAAGATAATGACAGTAGGGAGTACATGTGTAAACTTGGCCAAGTACTCTGTGAATTAATTCATCTACTATTCATAGCAACCCCACTAGGTAGCTATTATAATTTTCCTCATTTTAGAAATAGACACTGAGGTTTAGAGAGAACAAGTAGCTTGTTTAAGGTCAGACTGCTTGCTTGACCAGAGATTCTCCCCAATTCCCACTGATAACAAAGTTCAAGCTCTTAACTTCTATATCATGTTGCCTCAAATCACAAACTTTGTCTAATTTTAAATGATTATAAAATAATTGTATAAAGACAATTCTTACACAGGAAGAGTTATGAAAATAAACCTGAGTTTATCACAAAGACTCAAGATTTCCTGAGGCAAGCTATATTCGGCTTTCAAAGCCATTTTTATTGAAGGGTTTTATTTTAAAAATAAAAGAGAAAAAAATAAAAATAAAAGAGCATCAAAAACGTCACTATTTTATTTTCTGTCAATGGACCTCTGAACACATTAATAACCATGTCACACAATGTCTTTATCTTATATTCCTACTTTTTAGTTTCCCTTTGTCTGCTTTCTTCATATTAGCCTTTTGTACTTTATGTATAGGTTCATTTTAGCTGGAAGAAAAAAAGAAAAAGAGGAAGAAAGGAAATGAAGGAAGAAAAAAGAAGGTAGGGACAGACAGAAAAGGACTGTTCCTAAAAACAATATAATATTATAAATATTAAATGTGAATTAATGTTCCACTCAAGCACAAAAATAACTTGCCTCGAACATGACTTCTTTCCCTCTCTACAACTTCTAGCTCACATTCTAAAATCAGGCAACCTCTACTCAACTAAGATAAGCTTATAATTTTGATCTGGTAGAAAAAAACAAACAGGAAAACAAGAATAAAACATAGACAAATGTTCGCAACCAATTCATGTGGCCAAAAAACAAATATACATCTCTGGATTCACACATCTGTGGTTTCTATAATGATCCCCTGAAAAGCTTATTCAGTAAACAGAAATAGAAAAGATGATAATACGAAAAATTAGGACATAAAATAATCAAAATATTTTAACCTAAGCTTTTGTGAAAGACAGGCTATTAAAAGGAGATGCTTCAAAATTAATTGGTTGAGCAAGTATTACCTTATTTTAAACAGAAAAAAAAATCTAGGTAACAGTCTTCTCTCAGTCTTTTTAACAAGTAAGAAATAGATGAAAAGCAGAAGTCATATCCCTCTGACTTTGAGGTAAACACAGACTAAACAGAAGATTTATTTAAATCACCCCATCAGCACTTAAGTGAGAAAGACTTAAGTTAGAAAGAAACATAAAGCTTTGAAAGAGAGGGGAGGTAAACCAGCTATGTTCTTGGTCTTATTCTTTGAAGTCTATGAAGTTAATTAATGCCAGAGTATAAAACCAGTGCTGCTTCAAAAAGAACTTTCTATAAAACTGGGTACTGGATAGCATACTTGAAAGAACTGCTAAACTCCCTTTCTTAAATATAGTTAAGTTCACATAAATTCCAAGAATCCTGTTTGTTTTCTTTCCTCTAGATAAGCATAGATATTAATAGAATGAACCAAAATGGAAAGATCAAATAGAAAACAAATAAAGTACATAAATAAGAATACCTTGATTCCTGGACAATGGGCAAAAAATGCTTCAGGACTTTGAGAATGGTACAGAGCCCCATGGCCAACACAGCCCCAAGGGGATCGGATAGTGAGGCTTCCACAGTTAAAAAGATCCCCAGAGCGATAGCGATACTTGGCAGCTTCATTAACAATCTGAGGGACAGAAAGAAAGTGCATGGCATAATGAGTCCCTCCCTTCCAATCCATCCTCTTTCTTTATTTCTTTTTTTTTTTTTTTTTTTTTTTTTTTTTATTTAGAGAGACAGGGTCTTGTTCTGTCACCCAGGGAGTGCAGTGGTACGATCAAAGCTCAATGTAGCCTTGGACTTCTGGGCTCAAGTTATCCTCCCGCCTCAGCCTCCAGAGTAAATAGGGTGACAGGTTTGTGCCACCATACCCGGCTAATTTTTGTAGTTTTTATAGATATCGGTTCTCATTATCATTATGTTGCCCAGGCTGGTCTTGAACTCCTGGCGTCAAGTGATTCTTCCACCCTGGCCTCCCAAAGTGCTGGGATTGCAAGTGTGAGCCACTTTTCCTAGCCCTAATCCATTTGCTTAAGCTATTCTATAAGATCTTTAAATATATGCTCATAACAAAATGATAATTTTAATACATTAGTAAAAGGGTAACGAAATGTTCCTAGAATACAGGTAGGGGTGGGTGGAAGGATAGAGATAATACTTCAATACTTCGTGGACTGAACAACCTTAGAAATACTCATTTACTTACCTGATCAAATGCAGGGAAAATATAATCTGCAAACTGAATTTCTGCAATGGCAGTAGCTCCAGTAACTGCAATTCCAATTCCAAATCCAACGATTCCTTGTTCACACAATGGGGTATTAAAAACTCTATCTTTTCCTTAAAATAGAAAAGAAGAAAAAAGGTTACGTGGCAAATTAGAGTAACCTTGTACATAATACATTTAAAAATTCAGTAAACTAATAATGGGATGGAGAAGTATAGAATAGGTAGAGGAAATAGAAAATAAATAGTATGGCTGGCCACGGTGACTCACCTCTGTAATCCTAGCACTTTGGGAGGCCAAGGCAAAGAGGACTACTTGAGATGAGGAGTTCAAGACCAACCTGGTCAACACAGTGAAACCCTGTCTCTATTTTTAAAAATAGTATGGTGAATTATTTAAATGAAAGTAATAATTATACTAATTGCAAGTAATCTAATGTTTCAATGAAAATAAAAACTATCTTGCTAGTATAAAAGACAGAAAAACCCAATTAATTATTTGAAAGGAAGCACAAACTAAGACAAAGAAAGGTTGTTTAAAAAAAAAAAAAAAAAGAAGGAAAAAGTATAAAATAAAAAACCTAACCAAAAGAAAGTTGATGTCACTATATTAATAGCGGGCAAAGCAGACTTTCAGCAAAAAAGCATACAGGAGATGAAGAAGGAAAATGCATACTATTAAGGATTTAATTCACAAGAAATAAAACAATTTTAAACCTACACTTATCTAACAATGGAATGTTATCTAACCGTGGAGTGTCTAACAAAGGAGAAATAGACAAATTCACCACATAGTGGGAGATGATGTTTTTTATGTACTCATCTTAATAACTGACAAAAAAGGCATACCAAAAAAACTGAGGGAGTGTAAAAAATAGAGATGATTTAAACATGATCAGTAAACATGGCCTCACTGACATAAAAGGACACTGCACCCAAAAGCAAAGAATACAAATCCTTTTCAAGTAAACAGAAAACACTGACATTAATTGACCGTATTCTGGACTACAAATCCAATGTCAACAAATTTTAAAGGACTAAAATTACATATATTCTCTGACCACAATATAATTAAATTAGGAATCAATAATAAAAAGATAATTAGAAAAATTATTATGCTAGAAATGTTTTTAAATATATGGCTAAATAACCCACAGCTCAAAGAAGAAACTATGATGGAAATTAGAAAGTGGTACTTCAAATTCAATAATAATGAAAAACTATACATAACAGCTTATCAAGGTTCTGAATGCAATATCAGAAATGCCTTTTTCGGACTATCCTTCCCACATGTAATCATTATAAACGCTGGGCAAAATAAAACAAACAACTATTTAAAGGCATTGAAGGGCCTAAAGTAGGCATAAACTGGAGTCTTGGCTCTTGAAAGAAATTAAGTCCAGTGGATGACCAAGACATTCATAAGGCTTGTCCTGTGAAAGGACTCCCCAGTCTATGAGTTAGACAGCTAGAATTCAAACAGACTCAGTCTGGTTGATCTGAGGTGTCAGAAAATAGTCTGGGGCTACCAGTGGTTGAAAATGACAGACTAAATCCCTAAAAGAAGGGCACACGCAGCATGGGGGAGCCCCAAAGTCTGTGTATAAACTGATCAAATCCTTGCCAACACTTGTGCCTGCAGGAGACTCCAAAAGCCCAGCAGCAAATAATCTCTGCCAGTTGAAAGAGTTGTGCCCACCAACAAGGAGGTAAATTTTGGAGTTTGAGACTCTTCAAATTAGAGAAACCCTTCAGATGATCCATTCAAGCCACTAGGTACAATTATATTAGCGCATAATTCAATTCTCACTTGACATTCCACCACCTCTCAGCTAATGCAAGCATTTCGTTAGAAATTCTAATTTCAGGGTTCTGGGTGAACAAAGACAATAGCCACAGTCTGACCACATAACCAAATGTTTTGGGAGAAACCTGGTATTTATATTTCATTTCCATAATCCAAGGATACCAGTTCTTTTTCATACGTAGAATTCACTTTTAGCTTAATCATTCCCTTTGAATATGAACGAAACATGGGGCAGGTGCTGGGAAATGCCAACCAGACACATCCTGTAGTTTGCCACCCTATAAGCAGCTGCAAAAACTGAAAGCATGATTCATACTCATCATGATCTGCGACTATCTTCTGAAATTGTGGCCTCTATTCCTCATCAATTCCCTATTTGACTGTGAGCAGCTTGATAATTTTTGAAAATCTATGATTCCATTGAACCAACAACCACTCGGTGGTATAAAATGAACATAAATTCCAGCTGTCTCCCATGGAATTCACAGCCCTGGAATAAATACCTGAACCACCTTAACCAAACTAGCAGCATTCTTATTGATTCCTTGCTACCTCAAGTTCATGGGATTCAGATATTTTTCATCTCAGTAAGAAATTATAGCCTTGTTGCCAATAGAAAGCAGAAAAAAAATGAGTTTCTCAGGACTTTCTTACTCCAAAACATGTTTGATTTGAGGAAATAGTTTAACAACTCTCTCTGACAAGTTTCCATTATGTAGCAACTTCAACATGAACTGTTAAAAATCTGTTTCTATTTTCTCCCAGATACTGATTGAGATAAGAACACAAATAAGATGCACATATTGATGACTTCCTCTATCTTATGATGCAATTAATCCAATGTAAAGTTCCTGTAGTGCCCTCTAAGTATCCTGATAGATGAACGAATGCATGCAGTGACTGTGCTATGAGCCAAGAGAGACCTGGGTTTAAGTGTTATATCCACGAATTACTAAACACTGTAAGGCTCCATTTCTTATGTGCAACAGAAAAAGTATAATATTCAAAAGACTAAAATAATTCATATATCTATTGAACAAATGTTTTTGAAGTACTTAATATTATACAGTTTCCTAACAGCAGCAAACAAAATGAAAACATTCACATCCTCATGACGGATTCTAGTCAGAGGAAACAAAATAAATGAAGGAAACAGTTTGTTAAATGATGAAGCATGGAGTGGGGGGTAGGTGGGTAGAAACTACTGTGATTTTTAAATAAGGAGATTCGGAAGGCCCCACTTAGAGGTGGCAGTTAAGCAAAGGGCTGAAAGAAATGAGGATGGGTACCATGCATATATCTGAGAGAATAAATATTTTGGGCAGAGGGACCAGCAAGTACAAAAACCATGGGGTAAAAAAATGTCAAACACTTTGGGAAGGCAAGAAGTCCAGATTGCCTGGTCTAGAGTGAAAGAAAGAGTAGTAGGAAATAAAGTCAAGGAGTTAAAGGAGGGAATGGGGAGATGACAGAGATCAGACAGGGCCTGGGAGGACATGACATTGTAAACACTTTTAAATGTGAGAATGAGTCAGAAAGCAGGTGAGTGAGGAAAACAGGAAGTTCTTGAGTTCATGCCATTCTCTGAGCTGCATTTCAGCAAGATGCCTCTGACTGGTGTTTTGTAAATAGCCTGTCAATAGCAAGGGTGGACACCACAAGATTGATTATCAGATACTGCAATAATCCCAGTAAGAGATAATGATGCATAATAGCAGGGAAGATGGAGAAATGGTGTAAGACTCTGGATATATTCTAAAGATAGAGCTAAAAGGATTTGCTGATGAAATGGATGTGGAGTATGAGCCAGGGTAATACTAAAAATGATTCAAAGTCTTTTCGCCTGGGTAACCTGAAGGACAGAGTTCCCAGTAACTGAGAAAGGGAAAATGAAGAAGCATGTTGGGTGAGAGATCAGGAGCTCAGGTTTGGAGATGTTTACTTTGAGACGCCCTCAGATATTCAGGTAGAGCTATCAATTAGATTGTTGGATATAAATTGGAAGTCTTAAGCATAAAGATAGCATTTAATAACAAGGGATCAGATAAGACTACCTAGTAAATTTAAATGGAGAGAAAAGAAGAGATCTAAGATTGTATCCTAGATAATCCAAGGTTAACAAGATAAGCAGGTGAGATAATCAGCCAAGTTGAAAAGGAAAACAAGCCGGAGTTTAGAGGAAAACCAGGATAATGTGCTGTCTCAAAACAAAGTGTTTCTAAGAAAAGAGTGATTAACTTGTGTCTATATCACTATTAGAAAGTGAGATGAGGGCTGAGGATTTTATCATGGGTGACCTTAACATGACTGTTTCTGCAAAGTAGGAGAGAGAGAGGAAAAAAAAAAACTTGATGGCAGTGACTTCAAGTCAGAATAGGGGAACAGTGGCACAGAAATTGAAGACCATTGTAGCAGGGGCGGCCGCGGGAAATGGATCTCTCGGACACCAAATACAGGAGGAAGGAGTTTATTCAGCCGGAGCAAGGTAGCATATTCGCCTAACAGCCAAGTTCCCCTAACAAAGGAAGGTTCCTTCTTTATATAGGCTTATACTTTAGATGTTACACATGGAAGAATCTTAGGTTTAACATATGAATCTTAGCTTAACATATGAAAAGGGCCTCAGTTTACAGTCTTAGGAATTACATATGAAAAGGGTCTCAGTTTACAGTCTTAGGAATTACATATGAAAAGGGTCTCAGTTTACAGTCTTAGGAATTACATATGAAAAGGGCTACGGTTTACAGTCTTAGGAATGAAAAGGGGAAGTTTACAGTCTCAGGAATGAAAAGGGGAAGTTTATCTGAGATGCCTGGGTCTCCCTCTTCACCATGAGTAGTGACAATTATGTGGCTTAACGTTGCTATAAAGGAGAGAAGAGACCAGGCGCACTATGGCTCACACCTGTAATCACACCACTTTTGGAGGATCACTTGAGCCCAGGAGTTTGAGACCATATAGCAAAACCCCATCTCTACCAAAAATACAAAAAAAAAAAAAAAAAAAATTAGCCAGATGTGGTAGCACATGCCTATCGTCCCAGCTAATCAGGATGCTGAGGTGGGAGGATCACTTGAGCCCAGAAGGTCAAGGCTGCAGTAAGCTGAGATCACACCACAGTACTCCAACCTGGGCAACAGAGTAATATTCTGTCCCCTCTACCCAGAAAAAAAAAGAGAGAAGAGAGAAGGGAAAGGGAACAGTCACACTAGAGGGAAATATGGGGTCAAGAGAGATTTTTTTTTTTTTTTTTTGAAATGCAGTCTCACTCTGTCACCCAGACTTAAGAGTGCAGTGACTCAGTCTC